CCTGAATGATGAGCCCACATATAGTTCCTAAGTCATCTACTGTCAGATGTCCAATCCTTGCTCAGATCTGAGCATTTTTTTCCCCACTAACAACCCCACTGCACTCAGCTGCCTTGGACTTCTGTCACAGCTGAAAGCCCTGCTATAGGCACTTTGTAGGTCCCCTTTTTTTCTTCATCCCCTGCCTCCAGGCCCAGAGCCTAGCACATGCTTGGCCTTACTCTGTCACTGAGCTATACTCCAAGTTCTGCCCCTCTTTTTGTTTGAGCCTTTATTTTGCTTTGTAGTTCAGGCTGGGCTTTACCTCTCAAGCCCATATCTAGCCTTGAACTCATCACGCTCCTGCTTATTCTACCAAGTGCTGGTGTTACAGGCATATACCATCACACTTAGCAAGAGATGGATCTTTCTTGACTGTCTTCCTAACCCTTTTCCTCTTTAGTGTTTCTCTGGAGAATCTTAGCATAGCTTTTCTGACTACCAAAACTTTCTCTCAGACTCTATATGTTCCTTTGGAGCAAGTCTGTGGACCAGTGGAGCACAGCCTCTGGCTGCAATTGCCTTTATCTTTGACCAGGAATCTTGAAGTTACCCAAAGTCTCAAAGATGGTCTATGATCTCTCACAGTGTGTCAGAAGAGGCGCACAGGCATGTTAGTTATTCTAGCTGTGCATCACCAGAATTTGCTATTTGTTTTCAAAAGACCACAAAACTGGTTTTCATTTTTGTTTGACTGAAACAGCAAAATACAGAGTAAAACAAGCCAAAGAGTTTGAACAAGAACATGGTTGGAGATCTCATACTTCCAGATTTCAAATATTATCACAAAGCTGTAGTAACAAAAACAGTGTGATTCTGGAGCAAACCTCAGACACACCTACATAAAGGAGACACATCAGAAACCCCACAAATAAATCCTTGCATACATGATTAAGTGCATTTTTTGTTTTGTTTTTCATGACAGGGTTTCTCTGTGTAGCCATGGCTGTCCTAGCTCTCGCTCTGTAGATCAGGCTGGCCTTGAACTCACAGAGATCCACCTGCCTCTACGTCCCAAGTACTGGGAGATCAAGTGTATTTTTAAGAAGGATGACAAGACCAATGAGGAAAGAAGTCTTTTTAGAATGGTGTTGGGAAAATGATAATCACAGGAAAAGATGTAGTTGGAATTCTGTTTTACACAGTATAAAAAAAACAAACAAAATGAGCCAAAGGTCTAACCTATGATTCCAAAGTCTGTTGAATGTAACCCAGAACTTTCATGGCATATTTGACAATGATTTCTTAGACTTGACAGAGGCAGCAACATTACAGGCAGGAAACGTATATACAAAATAAAAAGCTCCTGTGTATCTAAATATGCCGTTAACATACTGAAAATGTGACCTGAAAAATGGGAAGAAATATTGGCGAATTGAATCAGTGGGTAACATGTAGTGTATGTAAGAAGTCTTGTAGTTTTTTGTGTGGTGCCGTGGCTTGAACCTAGGGCTTCACATATTCTTGGCAAATGCTCTACTGCTGAACTATATCACCCACCAAGCCCCCAAAACTCCTACAATCCGACACAAATACTAATAACTTTTTTAAGGTGGCCAAAGATTTGGACATTTCTCCGAAGAAGATACACAAGTGGAAAATAATCACATAAAAAGTGTAACATCCCCAATCAGCAAGGAACTGCAAATCAAAACCACTGTGGGTGGCTTCTTTTAACAATAAAAGCAGCTACAAACAAAAAGTGCTGACAAGCACACAGAAAAAGTGTCTGGGCACTACAGTGGGAATATAAAACCATAGAGCATCTATAAAAAGCATTATGGAAGTTTTTAAAGTGTTAAAAATAAAATTACCAGGGCTGGTTTAGTTGGTAAAGTGCTTGTCCCAGAGGTGCCAGGATGCAAGTTTAGATCCCCAGAACCCATGTTAAATAGCCCAGTGTGGTAGTGCTGGGGACACAAATAGGAGACTCCTAGAGCTTATGGGCTAGTTTAACCTAACTAGTGAGCTCTGAGTTTAGTGACAAATTCCATTTTAAAAATTAAGGTGGATGCTGGGCATGGTCACATACTCTATTCATAGCACTTGGGAGGCAGAGGCAGGTGGATCTCTGTGAGTTCAAGGACAGCCTGATCTACAAAGTGAGTTCCAGGACAGCCAGGGCTGTTACATAGAGAAACCCTGTCTCGAAAATAAACAAAAACAAAAAAATAAGGTGGAGAGTGATTAAAGAAGACACTTGATATTGGCTTCTGGCCTACAGGTTCACTTTCACACACACACACACACACACACACACACACACACACACCTCACAATACCATTTTAAAAATGAACTGAAGGCAGATCTTGATGTTTTGAACATCCATGTTCATAAACATTATTCACAATAGTCAAAAGGCAGGAGTAACCTAAATGTCCATCAAAAGTCACACATGTCTGTAATTCCAGCACTTGGAAACTGTAGCAAAGCTGGTCGTGGTGCATGTCTTTATTCCCAGCACTTAGGTGGCAGAACTGACTTTGTGAATTTGAGGCCAGTTTGGGTTACATAAAAAGTTTCAGGGCAGCCAGGGCTACATAGTAAGACCCTGCCTCAAAAATAAAACAAGACAAAAACAAAAAGAAACTGAAGCAGGAGGATCAGAAATTCAAAGTCATCTTTCAAGGCCAGCCTGACCTCTTTAAAAAATGAGGGGGAAAAAGGAAAGCAAGAAAGAATATGGGGGTTGGAGAGATGGCTCAGCAGTTAGGAACACTGGGTACTCCTCCAGAAGATCGAGGTCCTCTTGTAACTCCAGTTCCAGGGATCTGCCTTCTACTGGCCTTCCCAGGCACCAGGCACACACGTGGTGTGCAGACATACGTGCATGCAAAACACCCATACACATAAAAATAAAGTAAAAAGAAATAATACTCAGAAGGAATAAAAACTCAAAGAAAAACATTAGCCTTAAAAAGGAACTTTTGACAAGTGCCACATTGTAGATGAAACTTGACACGAGTTAAGTGAAATGTCAGTTACAAAAATCAAACATTATATGATTTCACTTAAAATGTATTTTCAGCCAGGTGGTGGTGGTGGTGGTGGCACACATCTTTAATCCCAGCACTCAGGAGGCAGAGGCAGGTGGATCTCTGTGAGTTTGAGGCCAGCCTGGTCTACACAGTGAGTCTCAGAACAGCCAAAATTACACAGAGAAACCCTGTCTCAAAAAAAAAAAAAAAAAAAAAAGGTATAAAAAAGGTATTTTCAGACTTCCCAATCCCATGGAAACTAAAAGCAGAATAATGGGGATTTGGGAAGAGAAAAACTAGTAGGTTTTTTTAATTTTTATTTTATGTGTATTTAGTGTGACGGTATCAGATCCCTTGAAATTGGGGTTACAGAGTTGTGAACTGCCATGTGGGTGCTGGGAATTGAACCCGGGTTCTTTAGGAAGAGCAGACAGTGCTCTTAACCACTGAGCCATCTCTCCAGCTCCACTAAGTTGTTTGATTCATAGAGAAACTGAAAATTTTGTGGTGCTTAGTTCCCCAACAATGTGAAAACAGTGAATGTCTTAAGTGCCTGCCATGCCCTTAGCCAGGCATTGTTCCAAGCAATCTTGCTTTTCTGGTCACTGCATTGTAGACACTGGGTTAGATAGTGGCTATGAAACCCCTGCCCAATTTTGTATAAATGGCCCATTTCAATTTTCAGCTGAAAGAGTAAAAGCCTGGGCTAAGAGACTTAATCCTGAGGGAAAAGCCAAACTGTCAAGTCACCAGGGCTGCCTCAGTATCTCAGGCAGTTGTGAACCACATTCTCAGCCTTGAGGCTTGTAGAGCTTGAGATGCCTCCTCCCTTCCTGCTCTGATCCTAAAATACACCCGCATCTTCTCTGCTGACAAAAGCATCCCTTTCCCATCTTCCCGGGAACATTCTCCCATGCTGTCTTGTCAGCTCCATCAGATAGTGGAGTCTGCCTTTCCACAGAAGGCAACAATAGTAACTTATTTGATGAAAAAACTAAAGCACTCCTTGCTGAGTGTGGTGGTGAAGGCCTATGATTCCAATACTTCAGAGGGAGAGGCAAGAGGACCTTGAGTTTAAGGCCAACCTAGGTTACAGTGAGACCTTGTCTAAAGAGTCGAGCAAAAGGGGGAAAAAAAGGGGGGGGACTCCGTAAGGCTCGGTTTCTATTGTGTTTCAGATTGTACACTCTGGATTTGCTCCCGGGATAGAAAGTCTTTCATTGCCAAGAAGCCTTTGGTGATTTACAATACAAGACAAGACTTTTAGGGAACGTCCTGGAATCGCTATAAAAATCCGTACAAAGATGTCATTCCAACCTCCTGCTTTTCTGATTGCCCTCAGTTCTTTTAGTGAAGACATAAGAAAAAAAGAAATCTTAGCAGGGTCTCTCTCTCTCTCTCTCTCTCTCTCTCTCTCTCTCTCGTCTTCTCCTTAAGGAGAAAGAAAAGTGTAATGAACGTGGGTGGTAAGGCAGTCCAGCCTAAGCGTAAATGCTGGCTTCAAAGCTGCATTTGGTGGCTCACACCTGCAATCCCAGCTCTGCGGGGGCTAGGGCAGGAGGATTTTCGCGAGTTCAGGGCCAGCTTGGGCTACAGAATGAGTTTGTCTCACTACTTCCAACCGCGTTCCTTCCTTTTCAAAGATGGCCTTAAAATGTTGCAAGCTTCCTGAGGAGGAAGTGCCAAGAGAAGTCATGGCTGCGCAGATAAGCCACATAAGAATGCTGCCTGAAATCTCTCCAAATTCAGGCTGTAAGGCAATGGCAGCCAGATGCCTCAGAGACGGCAAAGGGGAACAACTAGCTGGAAGGAAACACTTGGAGTCACCACTTCTTGACCTGGCGAGAGAACATTTCGGCCAATTGTCAAAGACTCAACACCGGTTTCTAGGCAGCAGTTTGTGACGTCATCTCTCAGCACCGGAAGCGGCGAGGCGCAGTGGAGTCGCGTGAGGTTTGTGGGTGTCTGCCGTCGGGGTAAGCTAGTGGTTGGTCTGCCTTCTTAGCTGGTTGGATTAGAAGCGGGCAGACTCGTTTGGCCCCGCATGCAAACCCGGAGCGGTGGCCATGAGTGTCGAGTTCGAGGTTTCCTTCTGTGCGGACCAGGCTCCACCCTTTCGTCCTGCTCCGGAGGGCGTGTTTCAGGAGAGTGAGGTTCCGGTCCCTATGCTCCCTGACTCCTGTACCTAGTTGGCTGCCAGATCAGCATGAAAAGATTAGTAGATAAGAGTGGACATTGTTCAAGCCAACGGGGCTGTTCATCCTGTCGGGAAAGTGTTTCTGCCAGAAACGCCCGCCAAGAGAAACTTTTGAGGTGCCCTACCAGTGTCCTCAGCGGGCCTTAGAATGCCGGAAGCGGTAAGGCCTCTCTCATGTAGTGCAGAGACTGGGTCAACAAAGAAGGGGTATTTGAAATTACATCTATTCGTAATTGATGGGCAATTACTTTTGAGAATTAGACATATATTGGGGATTTCTTAGAGCCCCTCTCTGTCATGCTCTCATGTAGCCAGCGTAGCAGGCCTCAAATCCCTGATCCTCTTGTCTCCATTTCCCAGTAATGGGACACAGGCGAATGCCACCGGGCACGGACAACTTTTTCTTTTCTAGATGGGTCACAGTACGTAGATTAGTCTGGCCGCAAATTGTGGCCATACTGCCTGTGCCTCCTGAGTACTGAGATTACAGACTCTGTCTTAGAAATCTTTTGTTTATGTGGGAAGAAATGCATGTTGTTTTTTTATACTTCTTTCCAAGAATGATCTTTGTAAGGAAATCTGTGTTCAATTTCTGTTTGGCCATTATTGATTTGTCTGCTCACATAGCTGTTCTTCCCCCTACCCCTGCCCCCATTCTTTCAGCAAGATCTATTGAAACTTGCCCATTTTCAGCTTGTCATCCAGTCACTTGGAGCTTTGCATTATCTGGACCTTGTGTGGTCTGTAGTATCTTCCCTGCCTTCAGCTTTAGGTTCCATTTAGTACTTCATTTTTCTCCATGCACATGTGCCATGTCTTTGTGTGTTTTCCCTGGTTGTTCGCTTTGTCTAGAAATGTCTTCCTAATTCCATTTTCTGACTCTTGTTGCTCAATTAGGCTGCCTATTTCTACCAAATTAACCACGTTTATATGATTTATCTTACGCCCATCTCCAGGATACCTTCCTCTCATGGTAACTAAAGATTTGCATTCCCATAGTCTTTCTACAAACAAATCATACCACACTGATTATAATTATTTCTGGATCTTCTTTGAGATTGGGGGCTTTTGAAGGAACAGTGTATGTGTTAGCTCTTGGTTCCAGCTAGAAAAGCATGATGCACATAGTAGGCATGAAATAAAAAATAAAATAAAACATCCACTTAAAGAAAAACATCTTTAAGTAGGCAAAGGTTGATATGTATGAAGATGGTTATATAAGAAAGACAGGTCGTAAAATAAAATAAAAATATTAGTACAAGGAAAAGAAAAAGAAATAATCTTGATCAAATGAATGAGTGAGTCCCAAGCCAATATCACGTAGTGGGGCTAAGAAGCTATTCTTTGGAAAGAATTCAAATCCTAACTGGCACACAGTGTCTTTGTTGCTTGACATGGTACTTATTTGTGTTAGCCTTAACTTTCCATAGACGGAAAGTGAGACATAGTAAATGAGACACTTAACACAGTGCCCACCATGCACTATGTTCTTTAAAATATTTTTTATATTATTTTTGTGTATGAGTGCCTGCATGCATATCTGTGTGCATGCAGTGACTATGGCGGCCAGAAGAGGACATTGGATCCCCTGGGAACTGGAGCTATAGAGAGTTGTTAACTGCCATGTGGATGCTGGAAATCGATTCTGGCTCTTCTGGAAGGGCAGTCATTGCTGTTAACCACTAAGCCATCTCTCAGGCCCCCATGAAGTATGTTCTTAATAAATTATGCTGAACATCTGGTATCCTGGAATACAAGACCTGGCCATCAGTGGTTTCCAGGGACCTTTCTTCCTGTCTAGAATGGAGATGCAGTGGGGAGTCTCTTCCCAAGGCTAATAGAACTGTGAAAGTTGTGAAAGATGATGACTCCATTGGCCTCAGAGGAGATGGGACCTGAAATCTAAGACTTTGATTTCTAGGAAGGAGAACAGGATAATTCAACATCAGCATACCACATTTAGAGTAGCTTACTTAGGTTCCATACAGCAGCATGCGATTCCTAAGGATGTGTGTCTGGGGAGGGAAGAGTAAGAAGGGTGGTCAGTGGGGCCAGTTCCATGAAATAAATAACCTCTGAGAAAATTAGAAGCTGAGAGTCTTAAATTCAAGCCTGTGTTGGACACTGGTGGTCCACAATCATTTGTGGTTATGTAATTTTGAGTTTAAGTTAATTGGGAACAAAGTCTAAAGTAAAAATATTCAGAAGCTCAGTTGTCAGTTGTGGGTTAATTTATTTGTGGCGAAGGTTTAGGACATTTCCATTTTTGCAGAAAAAAAAATTTAAGATGAAGTATGGTGGCCCACACCTTTTTATAACATTTTTATTTTATGTACATTGGTGTTTTGGCTGCATGTCTGTGTGAGGGTGTCAGATCCCCTGGAACAGGAGCTCCAGACAGTTGTGAGCTATCATGAGGATGCTGGGAACTGAATCGAGGTCCTCTGGAAGAGCAGCCAGTGCTCCCAGCCCCTGCAGAAAATTCTTGTGCTAACAGTGCTTCAAGCTAGATTTCTGGCGTCATGTCACCTATCAAATCATTTGGGTTCCCTAAGAATCAGGGAGTGGTATCCAGGGATGTACCCAGCAGAAGTGGGAGGGAATGGTAGAATGAACTGCTCTACTTTAGGAAAGAGGAACCCAACTGGGTGTGGTGGTGTGTTGTTATAATAAAAGAAGATCCCAATCTTTTGATTTTACCGGTGAAGACTCTAGAGCCATATGTAGGGATGAAAGTCTCCCAAAAGGAAAAGCCCTTCCTGTTCACCTCATGTCTCAGATGGTAAAAGAAAAAAGCCAAAAGCTCAAAGCTAAAAGCCCCTTTTTCTCCATGCTGTCTTAAATACCCTTCTCTCAATGCCCCTTCTTTTGCTTAATAACCTGTCAGTTGGTTTCTTGCTCCACCTCTTGACCTAGGGTTGACTTTATTTAGTTCTTGGATTAAAGGTATATGCTAGGGCTGAGCTAAAACCACAGTACTTGTTTATAGTAAACAGAAGCTCTTGGGGTTAAGGTTAAGCTACTCCACAACTAGAAATAAGTTTTTATAGTTTACAATCTTGGGGTTCACAATGGGATCAAATATCCTGCAACAGTGGTGCATGCCGTTAATCTCGAGTGCTCAGGAGGCAGAGGCAGGTGTATCTCTGAGTTTAAAACCATTCTAGCCTATATAGCAAGTTCTAAGCTAGCCAGAGCTACATAGTAAGACTGTGTCAAGGAACCCAAGGAGCAGGAAGTAAAGAAAAGGTGAAAAACCTTGAATTGGTAGCAGTATCATCTGATCAGTTATTTGGAAACATTGTAAGCTTGCTGATTTTTGTAGGCTTATTGTATGCCAAGTAGTAAATGCTGGAAATACAGTGCTAAGATAGGCATGACCTTTGCAGTCAAGATGCTTGCAGTTTATGGAATTTTACTGTATGGTCTGGCTGATATTCAGGAATAATCATCCGTCTGTATTCCCTGTATTTTAAAGTCATTAATTCCGACAAATTGGGTCTGAAGGCCCAAATGATCCAACCTACTGTTTAAGGTTTGTTGTGTAAGCATTGTACAGTCACTGCATCAGAAGGAACACCACAACTTAAGAACATGAGGGTATAAAATGTATGTTTATTTGTGGCAGAAGGGAGGGCTATGTCCATTTTCCTGCTATGTTCCTAGCTGTTTATTGGATCCTCTGAAGTTCCACTATGTGCTGGCTTCTTTGTCAGAGGGAGTAGTCAATCACATGACTATGTTTCTCAATACCCAATGAGGACATGCTTCACTTCTCTGTACATTACCTGCTCACCCATCAGTTTGTAACAGGCCAAGCAGATGCCACATGGAACATAGCATTGTAAAGGGACCTGCCTATAGTATCATCACAAGTGGGCCCTGGTTTAGGGTCTTAGATGAACAGCCGAGTCTATACTCTCATCAACTCTTTTCAGACACCTGTTGACTTGTCTTTTGGACTTTCTGGCCTCTGTTATAATAGCAGCTTCTAGATTAGTCTCTGACTCCAGTTTTCTGCATTCCTCTGCCTACACACAGTTGTTGGCCAGGGATTCTTGGGCTTCTGTTTCATCTTATTCTGAAGTAAAGCCTGGCAGTTGTGTCCTGCTGATCATGCTGAAGCTTAGCTTCTCATCCAGGTATTTTTTCCTTTCTTCTTGTCCTTTTTCAGTGACTCTTGAGGCAGTATCTCTGGTGTAGCCAAGTTTGCCTTCTCCTCTTGACTGATGCTCACCCTTGTGGCAGTCTGTACTGTCTCTTGTGCTCTTTAAAGTGGGATGCCTCTCCTAGTCCTTCCTAATTAGTCCCCTTGGCTCCTGGCTGCCTCTGACTGTGTGGCTTTGGAGACCTTTCCTAGCTGACAGAGGACTTTGAGCGTTTTTGGCCTGCATGTGCTCACACTAATCAATTCTTGGATATGTGCACTCAGGCTCATTCTGTCTTGCACTGTCTTGTTTTTGCAGATGGTAACAATATTCTCGTTTTTGAGAATGTGGTTTCTTTGATTTTTGTGCCTGAATACAGCCTTTGTGCAGAAAGCATGTGTGCCACTTGGCAGGAGGCAAGATTTCCCCAGGTGTTAGAAGCTTGAGTGGTAAGAAGGCCCTAGAGCAGCAATTCTCAACCTGTGGGCCTCGACTCCTTTGGGGGTCCAACAACCCTTTCACAGGGGTCACATGTCAGACATCCTCCAAATCAGATATATGATTCATAACAGTAGCAAAATTACAGTTAGGATATAGCAACAAAAATAATTTTATGGTTGGGTCACCATGACATGATGAACTGTATTAAAGGGTTGCAGTATTAGCAAAGTTGAAAACTTCTGATTTAGAGGTTAGAGAGACATCCTAAAAAGCTAGTGCTAGCCCAGCCCTTCTGCTTTCCTGAGTCACTTCGTCTTTTTTATTTGCTTCACCTTTTCTCAAATACATTCAGTTCAACCATTCTCCTGTGCTTCCTACTTGTGTATCTTAGCTTGTATAAGCCATGTCAACTAATTGTGTTCTGATGTAAAATTCAGGGCCGGGGATTTAGTTCAGTGGTAGAGTACCTGTTTAGCAAGGGCAGGGCCCTGGGTTTGGTTCCCAGTACACACACACACTCACACACTCACACCTCTCTCACAAAAGACAGCCCCTCCAAAACACTCATGCACACACAGACACACACAGACCCAAAAACAAAACTCTCAGCCCCCCAACAAAACTAGTCAAGGGAACCAATATGAAATTCTCCTTCATCTCTTTTCCTTTTTAAAAGAAAAAGATTTATTGTTAAATTTAATTATGTGTATGGGGGGGGGGTGGCTAAGGGGTGGGTGGTTACACGTGAATTTAGGTGCTCACAGAGGCCAGAAGTGCCAGATCCTCTGGAGCCAGGATTCTTGGCACTTGCAAGCTGCTTGACTTGGGGGCTGTGCTTTGGAGAAGGACTTGGTCCTTCTCCAAAATCAGTCTGTGCTATTAACCTTTGAGCCATCTCTGCACTTTGTTCATAAATTTATAAATCTTTCAGTTTGTCTAATGGCATCTTCCAAATTAGAATCCTAGACATGGGGCTGGAGAGATGGCTAAGAGGTTGGGAGCACTGACTGTTCTTCCAGACCTGAGAACCTGGGTTCAATTCCCAGCACCCACATGGCATCTCACAGCTGTCTTTAACTCCAAGCTCTGACACCCTCAGACATACATGCAGGTAAAACACCAATGCATATAAAATAAAAATGAATTATTAAGAAAAAGAACCCTAGACACCTCCCTCCCCTTTCTTTTTTTGCGCCAGAGTCTCATGTAGCTCTGGTTGGCCTTGAACTCAGAGATCTGCCTATCTTTGCCTCCTGAGTGTAAAAGTCATTCACCATGTCTGGCTAAATTGGAAATTTTTTGTTTGATATCTTGTTATTCCTTTGCTATTTTCCAAAAGTCACCAGAAGATAAGTGAATCTTCTAGATTTCTCCTTCTCCTGTTTTTGAGACAGGGTCTCACTACGTAGTCTTGGCTGGCCTGGAACTTGGTATGTAGGAGACAGAGGCCTCCAGATCTGTGAGAATTGGAGGCCAGCTTTGTCTACATAGTAAGTTTCAGGCTAGCCAGTGCTGAAGTGAGACCCTGTCTTTAAAAAAAAAAAAAAAAAAAAAAAAACGGGTTAGAGAGATACCTTAGCAGTTAGTACATTTGCACCTGTTTGGTGGCTTTAATGGCCTGTAGCTCTAGTTCCAGGGGCTTTGGTGTCCTTTCCTAGCTTCTAAGGGGAGTGCATGCATATGGTGCAGATACTAACAAGCATACACATTCTCTTTTTCTGTAATAGGAATGTAGTTCAGTGGGACAACACTTGCCTAGCATGTACAAAGCCCTGACTTCAACTCTCTCGCATAAACAAAAAGGAGATAGAGACGAAGATGGGTACAGAGAAAGACCTAATACATAGAAAGATAACAGAGATCTGAAGAACTTTTTTCCCCCTTAACGATTTAAGTGTGTGAGTGTTTTGCTTGTATATATGTAAATACACCATATGTGTGTAGGGCCTTTGGAGGTCAGAAGAGGTTATTAGATTCCTTGGAATTGGAGCTACAGATGTTTGTGAACAGTGATGTAGGGGCTGAGAGGCAAACACAGGTCCGCTGGAAGAGCTGCAATTGCTCTCACTACTCAGCTGTCTATCTTGGTCTCTGATAGGAATAGTCATGCACAATCCCAAACCCTCAGATATATCTCTTCTTAATGAAACCTTTTTTAAATAATCTCAAGGGTCAGTCCTGTCACTGGGCCAATACCATATTTAATGACTCTTTACAGTGCTTGTATCATATCACAGTAACTAGTGTATGAATTGTCTTCTCATATGCCCTACTCCAAGCTTCTCAAGTTATAAGTTCTGAGGGACTCTGCATTTAACTTAATGCCCAGCATAGGATATCAATGCTTAGCATGATTTGTAGAGGTAAATATTTACCTGCATTATCTCACTAATCCTCAATAGCTTCTTAAGTCCTGTCATTATCACAGCTTTATAGAGGAGGAAGTTGAGACTACGGAGGTGAAGCCACCCACTTGTGACCATCCTCACAGTTATGTGTGGTAAGGCTGGGTGTGGCCTGGGTGATTTGTTATTCAGTGATTCTTTTTCGTTTTTAGAGCCATGATTCGGGTGTGCTGGTTGGTGAGACAGGACAGCCGGCACCAGCGAATCAGACTTCCCCATTTGGAAACAGTTGTGATTGGTCGAAGCCCAGAAACCAAGATCACAGATAAGAAATGTTCCCGACAGCAAGGTAACTAACTGGTCATAGCAATGTGGAGATGACTGTTTAGTTATGGCGATAATGATAACCAGAGACACACGTTTCCTGGAGTTCTTCCTGGAAAACCTATTGTATTCCCAAAACAAGGCTCTGAGCTTAGTTCTTTTAGCTGACACCTGGGCTAGTTCATGCTGGATTCTGCCCTCACAATGCAGAAACACTTAAGGCAGGTGCACGTAAAGGATGGGAACAGGTGGCTGATGTCTTGTTACCTTGGGATGGCAGGATTGAGTCTTGTGCCCTCCTTTGCCCAGGAGTTATCTGTTGAGCAGAAAGACAAGTAAATTCTGGAATCTTCAAGCTGAAACCATGTCTGAGATGAAGTAGTGTCAGCCTTTAGTGCCTTACACAGAGGGTAGCTCTCTGAAAGACTGTGGCATCCAGTCTTTCATATGGTTTAAGGGAAAAGTTAAAAGGAAAACACACACACACATTTTCCTGCAAACTCTGGGCATGCCCACCACACCTGCAGTGTAACCCCATACTCCTAAGGTTCTGGATTTAGAGTTGGGTTCTGTAGCAATGAGTATGGACTTTACTGTATGAGTTAGTCCAAGTGGAGTTGGAGTGTTTGAGCTGAATAGGCCCTGAACTCATTATATGGACCAGGCTGGCCTCTAATTCACAGAGACTCACCTGCCTCTGCCTCTTAAATGCTGGGATTTGAAGGTGTATGCCACTACAGACAGCTTCAAAGAAGGAAAGATATTGAGCATTTTCTTTCCTTCTTTCCTTTCTTCTTTCTTTCTTTCTTTTTTTTCCTTCCTTCCTTTTTTTTTTTTTTTTTTTTGAAGACAGGGTTTCTCTGTGTAGCCCTGGCTGCCGTGGAACTTACTCTGTAGACCAAGCTGACCTTGAACACAGAGATCTGACTGCCTCTGCCTCCCAAGTGCTAGTATTAAAGGCATGCACCACTACCGCTTGGTTTGCATTTGTTTGTTTTTATGGTTTATTTTTTAAAATTATATGTGTATCTGAGTGTGGGTATGTTTGAGTTCAGTTCCTTGTGGAGGCCAGAGGCATCAGATTCACTCCCCACTCCCAGGTTTTTAGCCAGGATATTAGCAGTAGCTAAGGGAGTACATGCACTGCTAATATATATATATATATATATATATATATATATATATATATA